CTGATACCCCTATAAGTGTGGAGATATGATAGAGGGATATGCGTTTCGCGTTTCACGTTTTGATTTTCAGACCCTGCCAGTCGCTATAACATCCTGCAACCTACTGTGCATCCTATCTTCGCTTTCATCCATCGACAGCGCGAAACCACCATGCTGTTGTCCTGAGGAATCGGATGGAAATGCAACCAAACATACCTCAGTGTCCTGAAGGCGAATGTAACTCGGCTGTGCAGAAAGGTGTTTGACGTTTACCATTGAAAGGTTTTTAAACTGAACTTTGGGATTGAAACAATGTCTATTGTCTTTTCTTCCTGGAGGCCCTGGAGATGATCACAATTCGTCATTCATGGTGCCCTTTTTAGTGTTTCAAGTATTTAACGGCTCACTCCCCAAGCCATCAGCCAACCATGATGATATCCCGGCAAATAAGATAGATTTGGGTTCCTACCAGGGATGGTCCACTTTATCGTCATATTTATATTATATATATATGTACACATCTCATCCTGTTCTTCTTCCATTTCTTGGGCTTGAGAACCCCAGCGATCTACCCAACCGGGTGGCCATATCACTGCAAGAACCCAGGAGCGAGCCCGGGGGTGCTATGCCAAAGCTGGATTCAAACTCGAATCAAGCAGAAACGCGTATTGGGGAAAGAAGGAACACAGCGGATCAGAGTGGCAGAAGATGAAGAAGGTGCCAACTTGGTCAATGTGGGTCCCCAAAAGACAAGTTGACCAAGAGATTCGGTTTTTCTCTGACTTCCCTGTGATTTTCAGTGTTTTTGTTGGAACATGTGATAAATCACATTTTTCTGGTTGACAAGTGGGAAAACTGGTGAACATACGCCATTGACTGCGCTAGGTTTTGTGCTATAGTGTCTCTATTTGATAATGTTTCGTTTTGACCTGCAATGTTTTCTTTGAGGCCCAACAGACTCAACCTCTTTGTCAAAACGCATTGCAATAGCTTACTATAGCTTGAACCCAGCAGCTCTTCAGGATGGATAGATTTTGGCCCTTGCCAAGGTGCACAAGCATTCAATATATGACAAGAAGGCGCCGGTGGCGCAGTAGATGGTCTTCATCAAGCTGCATTCCCTTGCCAGGATACAGTATATGCCTCGGGAAATTCCAGGTATCACCGCGCATCAGGGGAAAAGCGAGTTCTGATGTGGTGTTGGGGAAGCTGATTGTATATATATATATATTTAGTATTATTGAATTTCGTCAGCTTGAGATCATCCTTCATACGAAAGCTTTCAATTTGCAACGAGAGATGCGTGGAACCAACTGCCCAGACAAATACTCTCAGTTCACAGGAGGCACTTCTTAAAGTGCTGCTGAATTGGGAGATACATCCATTCAAAACGTTTCTCAATATCTGAAAATAACCATTGAGCAGAATGAGCATCTTCTGGGAAGGATTTCAAAGCATGAATTGGGTTGCACACATCTCCAATCGAGCAACCTCCAGTTCATCCCTGGTTGTTGATGGTAACACATGGGGTAATATACTAACTAGTTTCATCCCGGGTCGTGGGTTTATCATTGCCAATCATGTTCCATCGTTTTCCAGAAATCGGGCGGTAAATCCGCACTTTTTTGGACGGTTCCCAGCCCTTTTGTGGGAACCCCACAGGTGTCCTGCTTGCAGAGCCGCCCGCTGGAAGCTGCGGAAGCTCCCAGGCGACGATGAACTGCCAGAAAGTTGAAGGTGAAGGACTATAGATACCACTTTAAATAAGATTATATAGACAAACACAAATATATATAAATGATGTTGAAGTAGTGGAGAATATACCCCATGGAACGATGGTTGAACTTGATATTGTAGAACAAGAGATGATGATATTTGTTTGGATTCTCTTCCCCAGAACAAGACACAGCAATTTATCCCCAGCAAGCATCAGATTGATTTGCTCACTTCACACCAACAGAAAACCACCATTTTCAACGGGAACACTATTTACATTTACAGAAGACATGTGGTATGTCAAATGCTAAGTTGGATGGCCAGAGGATCTCATTTTGTGCGGGGAATTCTGAAGAAACCGAGAAACGGTACCATTTAGGGTCTTTTCCTCCATGCACACGACAGGCAGAACCAGTTCGACATTGGGCTTCAATACGAGGCAAAGTGCTGGCTTTGATGCCGTGGCACATGTGTTGCCTGGTGGCAATTGACCAGAACATGTGGATTTTACTGGATTTCATCACCCAAAACTAGAGGTTTACCGGGTTAACCGCCAAGAAATGGGAAAGTTAGCACAAAGGGAAGATGCTACCCCAATAGGATGTAAAAGACTCATTGCAATCTTTGGGTTTGGGGGGTGAATTTTTCACCCATGCCTCTAGAACGGCTTTGACACGGGGAACCCACGGGAGCCAAACCACCAGGGTATTCGGAATTCGGGTGTTGATAGAGCCCCAAACAGCGGGGATCAAGCAGAAGAAATATAAGACATGGGTCTTATCTCATGGGACCAGGGGCAACCCAAACGATCGAGAGTTTTTGATATTAAGTATCTTTTACATAGTGGATATATATATATATATATGTGGATAGATCATATCCATTTATATCCGACATGTTGAGGGCTTTACATCCTGTGGACCATGGGTTGTCATCATCTCAATAATTATCATCAAATTCATTCCTACCCATCATCGTCATCAGTTCATCAGTCTACTTTTGCAGCTGAGCAGTCTCCGGTACAACATTAGCGTCCTGCTAGCTTTGATACCTCGGTAGTTGGTTGACATTGCCGCGGCATGGGATATGGTCTGCTGAGGCTTGTCGCGTTCCGATGCCTGGCAGCCCATTCTCGGTGAACGGGGCCATCATTTTGTGGCAATTTTGATGGGAAAATGATAACCTCCATGGGAGGGGATCCGGTTTTGCACAAAGCCAAAGTGGATGATTTCCAATGATTTCCATATTCACGTCGCTTCGCGACGGCAACCGCCCGCACCGCATCGTTGGGCTCTTCTACTTGAGTTCTCTTCTATTGCCGTCGCTCCGCGACAAGAACCCCTGTGCGGCCGCCACGGTTTGAACGATGTTGTTCTCACACCTTCGCGACCGCTCGTAACTGCCAATGATGTCGGCCATTGAGACCAAAAACATCCGAAAGTACTGATTGTCGGAAAAAAAACCGCGAAGAATTTGATAGCCATGTATAGCGGACCAACGCAGTTCCAAAAATAACGAAAAACATGAAAAAACGACGAAATTGCTGTTATTTACAGTGTTTTTGCGCGGTGAGAAGCAGAAACCACTGCAAATACTATGGTTTTTGAGGGTCAGGTGGCCAAAAACACTGTAATTCGTGTTTTTTTAACCAACGTCAAAAAACACTGGTATTTACGATGTTTTCATTCACATCGTAACATAAAACAGCGTAATTTACGAGGTTTTTGGAAGTTTTGAAGCTAGCCGTCAAGCATGCAGAAAACAGAAAAACACTGTAAAAACCAGTGTTTCTGCTATCACAAAACGACGAAAATCAGTCCGAAAACGGGTCCAAAAACTCAAAAATCCGCCTCCGGGCCAGGCCACCTGCGGAACCGCAAAAAAAGATGTTGCAAACCAAAAAATTGAGGTCAAAAAGTTGAAAAACACGGGGTTTTTCACTTTTCGCTTGCCGATTTTGGACGGGCGCGTTCACGAACAGGTGTCTTCCGTACTGTTTTTTACAGTGTTTTTTGAAGGCGAGCGTCACGCCCTATCAAAAACAGGAGGTTTTGGCCGAAAAATGCCCCCCCCCCCAGGTAAACCTGTAACCTTTTACGAGTGCCATCCGGACGATCACGCCCCAGCACCTTCGGTGCGGGCGGATTTTGAAAAGGGGTCCATCATTTGTAGGTCCACAAGTGCCCTTTTCTGACCCAGAGCAATTTATAAATTGCCCGCTTTGTTGTTTTTTTTCCTAATGGTCTTCGAAAGCTACAATCCCAATGTAACATTGGGAACTTGCACGTCAGCATCATGGGCAGGAAGCTTCTTCGTGGTAGAGTCTTTCAGCCCAGGCTGAACCGATTGCTTGCGCCATGCGCTTTGACCCTGGTGTGGGCCCCAAGCCTTAGTGGAGATTTCAGCAAACGGGCCTCTGGGTGTTTCTATGCGCTATTTCAATTTATGACACATATAATATATGATCATTTATGATCATATGAGTAACCGACAAAATTAGCTAAAAACTAAAGTATTAATAGGGAGTGGACTTGGGATGTTCAAATTTGTGTCAAAAACTTCACAACCGATAGGGGACCACAAACTTTGGCCATGTCCATTGTGAGTATAGCAAGTAATTTTGTCCGCCACTCTATGTATTATATGTATATATATATATTATATAATCATTATATAAGATCTACACAATGTATATAGCATGATACAGATGTTTTTGTTGAGCACAAGCAACGTGGGGGTTTCGTTGGTCTCGGCCCAAGGTGTGGCTATGGCTTGCAGCTGGCGATGACCTCAGTGCCACAGAGGTTTGGTTCAGTGCTGTTTCAACTTTCGGATCTCTAAATTTAAACCATTCCATCCCGTTTTCATCCCGATTCCCATGCTTTATCCCATGCTTTATCCCTTGGACCATCTGCAGCATTTGTGACCAGCCGAGGCACTGAATTTTTTGAAATTGGTGCGGATGAGGTGCCATCCGCAGTCGCATGCTCAAAGTATGTCAAAGGGACAGTTGTGAAGGCCAAAACGAGGAAAAACGGGAATCATGGTACAACAATCACATTTGTTTTCAACTATAATCACTGGACTTTTTTTAAATTATGGCAAAAAACTATCGCGGAGGACTGGGTGGCTGAGTGGGTCCAATCATTTGCCGGAAATTGCGTTGGCGCTTGGTCGTTTCCAATGTGTTATAGAAATTGGATTAACTGTACATACTGTTTGCCGCTTCACTGTTAGCCACGAAACCTAGCTTTTGGCTCAACGAAGGAGGTTCCAGGTGCTTGACTCTCTAGGGTTTCGAAGCCATGGCCGTGAAAAACGGCCCAGATTTTCTAACCATCAGAGAATCTTGAAGCAGACTGCTGCGCAGGGGCAGACCTTCTGCGCAGGGGTAGACGGGTGGGGCACACACGAAGACAGCTTGGACATGTTTGAACTGAGTTTAATGTTTAAACCTTTACAGGATTCATCCTCTCCAAAACAGTGAGTTAATTGGGTAGGCTGGGTACCGTATATTTGGGTATGTTCCCACTGAAAATCGGGACAGCAAGCTCTTAACAAGCACTTGAATATCCTGACAAGTTTGTTTTTGAGACAACAGTGAAGCTCTAAGAATGGCAGGATGATTCCGATCCGCCGATATTTGAATTATTTGTTTATAGTTTTCAGACGACCGAGCTGTAGAGGTGAACGAATTGTTTGGCCCTTTTGCATCCTTTTGCAAGGTTGATGAAACCAGTGTTGGAGCAGGTTGGACGCTTGCAGACGGGGTCACGGGAAACAAGCTCAGACTGAGGATGCCGCTTTCAGACGGGCAAAAAAAATGATCGCAGAATCTTCCTTGGCATCTCTTGCGATGCGTGGCTTGGCAAAGTATCTTGTTCCCGTATGCGTAGCAAGGGTTCCCGTGTCACTCTGGGGGTCTGGGTGCTGAGGGTGTATTCGATAGACGTGTCGCAACCGTTCGCAACCGTTTGCAACTGTTCGCAACCTTCTGCAACTGTTCGCAACCGTTCGCGTCTGGCCGTGCCTCTGGCCAGTTCTGCAAGAGTGGTTACTTTTGGAGGTTTCAATCGTTGCGTACTTGTAGCTTCGTTTCGCATGGGCGGCGTGGCTTTTCGTGACATTCCAACATGTTTTATAACGTGTCGAAAGTGTGTGACAGGTGCAGTTCTTTTGCGTCGTTTTCAGAAGATGAGTTGCATTTACAGGCGCAGAACTTTGGTGACCTCCATCGTCATTTTGCGTGGCAGGCACAGCAGGCACAGCACTTGAGACGTGTCGTGTGGCATATTTTGGGAATCGCATTTTCAGGGCTGCGTCAAGTGCTGACAACGTGCAAATTGTGGGGCAGGCGTGACATTTTATGACATGTGATGAAAATAACCGAAGCGTCGTGCGAAACATCGATTTTGAGGTCTATAGATTTTGGAGTCCATGAGAAACTCGTCGGAAAACGTCAATTTTGTAGCTACAATGTGTAAAATTTGATGAAATTTGAGAATTTTCGCACGAAATCATGTCTCGTCTCCATTCTCTATAGTTCTGGCGTCGCCATGTCTATTGGGGGAAGCTGCAAAACTTCTCAAACAGTTTCTAATGCCGTTTTGCGTGGCAGTCGTGGCACGTCGTGACATTCCCACGGGTCTGCAAATGTTGTCGAAAGTCGTCGTTTTGTGTGACAGGCGCAATACTTTTTGCGTCGTTCTCAGAAGCTGAGTTGCACTTTTCGTGGCAGGCGCAGCACTTTGGTGACCTCCATTGTCATGTCGCGTCTTTAGACGAGTCGTGTTGCGTGCTTTTGGTGAATCGCATTGTCAGAACGGTGTGAAGTGGTGACAACTTGCAAATTGTGTGGCGCGCGCGGAACATCATGAGAGCGTCATTTTGCGTGGCAGAGGCAGTATTTGGTGCAGATCTAAGGAGTGTGGAAAGTCATTTTGCGGGGCTGGCGCATTATTTCAGTATTTCGGCCACTCCACACTCCACACTTTACACTTGACACTCCACACACTACACTTTAGCACTCTAAACTTTACACGTAACACTCCGCACTCTAGACTTTCCACCTTGCACTCTACACTTTACACTCCGCACTCTGCACTTTACACTCCACACTTTACACTCCACACTTTACACCTCCACACTTTACAGTCCACATTCTACACTCCGCCTTCTGCACTTCAGACTTCACACCCCACACTTTACACTTTACATTCCACACTCCACACTCTACACTTTACACTCCGCACTTTTCACTTTGCACTCTGCACTTTACACTTCGCACTCTGCACTCCACACTTTACACTCCACAACCCACCTCTAGTGTACACTTTACACTCCACACTTTCCACTTTACACCCCGCACAGTACACTCTGCAGTTCACACTGTACACTTTACATTCCGCAGCTTGCACTTTACAGTGCGCACTTGACACATTACACTCCACACTCGGCACTCTACACTTTACACTCCGCACTCCACACTTTACATTCCGCAACCCACCTCTACTGTACACTGTACGCTTTGCACTCCACACTTTCCACTTTACACTCCGCACACTCCACTCTACATTTCCCACTGTACACTTTACACTCCGCAACCCGCACTTTACAGTGCACACTTGACACATTACACTCCACACTTGGCACTTTACACTTCGCACTCCACACTTTACACTCCGCAACCCACCTCTGCTGTACGCTTTACACTTTACGCTCCACACTTTCCACTTTACACTCCACACACTACACTCTACACTTCACAATGTACACTTTACACTCCGCAACCCGCACTTTACAGTGCACACTTGACACATTACACTCCACACTCGGCACTTTACACTCCACACTTCACACTATGCACTTCACACTTTACATTTTACACTGCGCACCCTACACTTTACACTCCACACTCCACACTTTACATTTCACACTCTACACTCCACACTTCATACTTTACACTTCACACACTACACTTCACACTACATTTTAGACTGCGTACCCTACACTTTACACTCCACACTTTACACTCCACACTCTACACTCCGCCTTCTGCACTTCAGACTTCACACCCCACACTTTACTGTACACTACATTCCACACTTCACAATCCCCACTTCACACTCTACAATGTACATTCCCCGCTTATGGCTCCACTTTCTTTACATGTCGCACTGTGCACTCTACCCATTCCACATTCCACAGTCTACAGAGCACTGGTACGATAACAGGGGAAAAATGTACAAGACTCTTCAAATAACTTGTTTCACAAAAGTGTTCTCCCTTACTGCATTCGGGTTCAAAATGCATCCATTTTGAAGAGGTGATTTGGGTGATTTGGCATGTATTTTGTTACCAAGCCTTCGGTTTTGAATCGTTTCCGAACTATTTTTCTGAGGCTACAAGCCTCGCAATCAGACCACGGTATTTTTTGCCGCTGCCCGAAAACCTGGAGCTGACCGGGAGGCTGCAGCCAAGCAACTCAAAATATTTTTGTCATGCCGCGTACCTGCGTTAGAACATGCTGTAACGCCATGCAAAAAAACGTCAAAAAACCTTGTTGCCCTGTTCAAAAAGGAAAAAGCAGGGTCCCCGTCTCTTGATGGCCGGGCATTCTCCGCAGGCCAAGTGTTTGTGTGAGATCTTGGTGCAGAAGGGCATTCGTGTCAATCACACTGACGTTGCTTGGCACAGTCCTGAAGTGATGTTAGAGGATGTTAAAGGGCAATTGGCTGAACGGTTTTGGCTCAAAATTAGTTACCCCCAAATGCGGAAAGTTTTTGCTGGTTTCACCCACATCATGCCAAATCCAGTTTCATTTGTGCTATGCATGGGGGTCCGGGAGATGCACGAAGAGCAAGTTGTTGCCTTTCCTGTTGGACGGAGGAACTTCCAAAATGGGACTAGGCCATAGGGGTAATCCACAGAGGGAGTACACCAACAATGATGTATGTTCATAGCTGGTTGGCCCTCTCAAACGTGCGACTTTTCCATGAGGAACCTCCACTTGAAAAACGATCGTGGGAAGGGTAGTTTCAACACGTTCAACCACAAATCAGACAGTGAGGCATTTGAGATTTGGTAGGTATGGACGGTATGGACCCAAACTCGGTACCTTCAAAAAAAAGGGGTTGATTCTGTAGACTATGACTTTTGTGTGGGAACTTTTGCTATTGCGTGCCATGCGTGCCATCATCTCCACCTTTCAAGAGCCAAGGTAATGAATCAAACGGCCCTTTTCTATGCGGCCCGTCAAGGGCACGCAGAAACGATCAAGTTCTTGCTGAGCAAGAACTTGATCGTTTCTGCGTGCCCTTGGCGGGCCGCGTGGGGCGCGCGCGGTGGACACCAATGGGGAAACGGCGCTGCTGGGATGCCAATAGAGTTTGTGTTGTTTTTCATTTTTTTTTGGCGGGAGGATGGTGGACAAAATCTCGTGAATGGGCGGTGAGGAGTTTGTGTGACTGTAGGGGGTTACTGCTAAGATTGCTAAGAAATTGCTTCTTTGTTTGGCCGCTCTTCGTTCGGATTTGTCCTGGATTTAATTCCGAATCCCGAAAAACATATATATATAATATATATATATATAAATGTATGTATGTAATGTATGTAATGTAATGTAATGTAATGTAATGTAATTTCTGTATGTATGTATGTATGTATGTATGTATGTGTGTATGTGTGTATGTGTGTACGTGTGTACGTGTGTACGTGTGTACGTGTGTACGTGTGTACGTGTGTACGTGTGTACGTGTGTACGTGTGTATGTATGTATGTATGTATGTATGAATGAATGAATGAATGAAATGTAATGTAATGTAATGTAATGTAATGTATGTAATGTATGTAATGTATGTAATGTATGTAATGTATGTAATGCATGTAATGTATGTAATGTATGTAATGTATGTAATGTATGTAATGTAATGTAATGTAATGTAATGTAAGTAATGTAATGTAATGTAATGCAATGCAATGCAATGTAATGTAATGTAATGTAATGTAATGTATGTAATGTATGTAATGTATGTAATGTATGTAATGTATGTAATGTATGTATGTATGTATGTTATGTTACGGTACGTTATGTTATGGTATGTTATGTTATGGTATGTTATGTTATGGTATGTTATGTTATGGCATGTTATGTTATGGCATGTTATGGTATGTTATGTTATGGTATGTTATGTTATGGTATGTTATGGTATGGTATGTTATGTTATGTTTTGTTATGTTATGTTATGTATGTTATGTATGTTATGTATGTTATGTTATGTTATGTATGTTATGTATGTTATGTATGTTATGTATGTTATGTATGTTATGTTATGTTATGTATGTTATGTTTTGTTATGTATGTTATGTATGTTATGTATGTTACGTATGTTATGTATGTTATGTATGTTATGTATGTTATGTATGTTATGTAATGTAATGTATGTTATGTATGTTATGTATGTTATGTATGTTATGTATGTTATGTATGTTATGTATGTTATGTATGTTATGTATGTTATGTTATGTATGTTTTGTTATGTATGTTATGTTATGTATGTTATGTATGTTATGTTATGTATGTTATGTTATGTATGTTATGTTTTGTTATGTTATGTTATGTATGTTATGTTATGTATGTTATGTATGTTATGTATGTTATGTATGTTATGTATGTTATGTATGTTATGTTATGTATGTTATGTTATGTATGTTATGTATGTTATGTATGTTATGTATGTTATGTATGTTATGTATGTTATGTATGTTATGTATGTTATGTATGTAATGTATGTAATGTATGTAATGTATGTAATGTATGTAATGTATGTAATGTATGTAATGTAAGTAATGTATGTAATGTATGTAATGTATGTAATGTATGTAATGTATGTAATGTATGTAATGTATGTAATGTATGTAATGTATGTAATGTATGTAATGTATGTAGTGTATGTAGTGTATGTAATGTATGTAATGTATGTAATGTATGTAATGTATGTAATGTATGTAATGTATGTAATGTATGTAATGTATGTAATGTATGATGTATGTAATGTATGTAATGTATGTAATGTATGTAATGTATGTAATGCATGTATGCATGTATGCATGTATGCATGTATGCATGTATGCATGTATGCATGTATGCATGTATGCATGTATGCATGTATGCATGTATGCATGCATGCATGCATGTATGTATGTATGTATGCATGTATGTATGTATGTATATATATATATATGTATGTATGAACATGGGTCGAAACAATTTTGAGTCATGCAAGATAGTTGAAGCTCACGATGACATGCCAGCTGGTAGTGACCCGGTAGTGCCTCTCTGAGGTTGTTTTACGCAGTCAGAAAATTGAGGACAGCTGCGGCCAAGGCCTTGTTGGACGGCGGGGCGAGTTTGGAAGCGCCTGGGCATTGAAACGGGAAGCGCTTGCCTCATGCAAGGAACACCAAGTTTCCAGGGAATAGAAATATGGCAGGAGTCGGACTACAACGTACCAATTCCTATTTGTACATATATATATATATATTGTAAATAAATTGTAGTATCACATTTTGTTTTTTGAATGGGGTGACATCCTGCTACTGGTCAAGAATTGGCGCAGTCTTTTGGTATTCTTGCAGGGGTTGCTAGAAAATGATGAAGGGATTGTGGAAGCACATCAACTCCTCAAGCAGCAGTTGGAGTGTCAAACACACTAGAGTCTAGCTGAGTGGGCACTGGCAAAGCTCCTCTATAATACGTAATTACCACGGCTTGAAAGTGGTGCTACCCTATCATTCCAATCTTGGAAACTGCCAATTCACAGTGATGCCATACCGTTCAGCAGGTTGGCCCTTTGACTGAGGTTGCCAACAATGCTGGCAACACGTGCATGAGTGTGGCGCCTGCTGCGGTCTTCCCTGCCTTGCAGGAGGCACGGAAGTGGGTGAACCACAGCAAAAGACGAGCCCATCGAATTTGATGGTTGAAATCAGTTTGAATGCCACTGGAAATCCCCCATTTCTGGATTGTACCAGTACCCAGTTGCGCGCTGGTTTGTGTCCAGTTGTGGGCTATTGATTGATGATGAGTGCGTGGCCACTTCCAGCTTTTAGTTTTCACAGGCTTTAAATCAGGTTTGGGATGTAAACTGCATTGTCCAGACGTCCCATGCACGCCTCAGGAGCGCACAAAGCGACGCCTCTATCACGACGACTCAGGCTAGCCAAGGGCCTGCAGTGCAACGTCCTGACTTATCAATGATTTGGGCGCATCGCTTGATTGATGCATCCCCATAGAAAGGAGCGGTTTCCCAGCCAGGTCCGGGGCCAAAGCGTCGGCGCACGGCAATGGAAGGGCTGCGTGCATGGGCCAACGAGTGGCCAGCCAAGGAGCCCATCCCCAGTACCTTGGATCTTGATGTTTGTCAGGAGTCATAGCTTTGAAACTATTTTAAATTTGGTGGTGTATGCAATTTCCTTTGTTTGGTGTGTGTGTCCAAGCCTGGACGGTAATTTGCGAATTTGGACATTTTGACCGTTTTTTTGGCAATGAAGTGAAGCATGATTTTTGTTGGTCGATGGGTGGCTCAACTAACAACCCGATGGCCATTAGACTGGGCCAATGATGATCCGGGAAGCATGCCACACGTCTTGCAGCTACTCAGCTACTCGCATCAATGTCTTGCATGCTGAGGAAGCAAACAAGTGAACTACAAAGAGGAGGACTGATGGACATTGCCCGGATTTCTATGTGTGAACATGTCAAAGTTCCTTTTCTCTGTGTAGGGATGCACGAATATGCCTGTACAGGTACATGTATATATATATATATATAATATATATAATATATATATAATATATATATACTTACATTATATTGAAGACATGTTAGTACTTTATATAACCTCTATGTGCAGTGTATAGATCCAGGGGTTAGCATGAGCCCGATGTTACTTTTGGCTCAAGAAACAAGGAGCGCCGTCGCTCGATATCCTGTTTTCATGGTAGCGCGTGAGCCTGGTGAATCCGACGCTGACTACGAGCTGAGAAAGCGGGATCACAGGCACAGGAGGTATAGGTCCTCTTCGGAGGAGAGCTCAGCGGCTGGTCCAGCCGCGAGCTCAGGACCGGGAGCGGCTGGTTCAGCCGCCCCGGTAGTGATAGCGGAAGAAGAACCGCAGAGAGAAGAAGCCCCAGAGAACCCAGACAAAGCCCCAAAGAGCCCAGAAAAGCCCGAGAGAGCCAGAGAGCCAAGCCTAGAAGAAGTGAGCGCAGTTCAAGTAGAAATAGGACCCCGAGTTACCTTGAGGTCAGGCGTAAAGACTTATCAGGTTAAGGGACTCCACCAACAGTCACAGGTCGAAGAGGGCGACGGTCCAGCAGGACGAGACAGGTCCGCGTTTGTGGAAAGACTGAGGGCTCCGGATCGAGGGCCAAGTGAGAGCGCACCGTGGAGGAGGCCTGAGAACCTGCCGCAGGAGGAGCAGTCAGGCCAAGCTCCAGGTGTAAGGTCTGAGCACGGACAGGGGTTCAGACTTAGGTCGCAACAGAGCCGCCAACGGACGCTTCGTCCGTCTTGAGAAAAGAGAATTGGGTGCACCGTAGGTCACAGGGATGGAGCAGCAAGTCCAGCAATTAGCAGAAGTAATCCAGCAACTCCAAGTTCAGCAACAAGAGTTGATGCAGGAAAACCAAAGATTAAGAGAGGGTCAGGCAGGAGTACAGGCATTGGCGACATCAGTAGCAGAATTAGCCCAGTCTATGAAGAAAGAACACAAAGACAGGAAAATCCTGGTGGACACCAAGGGGTTAGGCAAACCGGACCCATTTGACAATAAAGAGGAACATTTCAGGCGATGGATCCGTTCTATCAACAACTTGGTCACGGGTATCTTTGGAACCGAATTTGAGAAAGTTCTTGAAGAATGTTTGGATTCCGAAGACCCTGTAACCATACTGGAATTAGAAGCAACTCATGGGGACCCGGATGGACCCATTGAGAACTTGGAAGACAAGGGTGACCAATTGTTCCGGGTACTTTGCCACTTGTGTACCGGGGAAAGTGAAGATTTGGTTGTGGGTTCAGGCAATGGTTTTGAAGCCTATAGGAGGCTGTGTAGGAGATGGGACCCCGCCACGAGCGGGCGTAAGAGAAATCTCCTAAGAGCCATCCTGACCCCAGAGCGGTGCAAGAACTGGGCCGCCGTGAGGCCTGCTATAGAGCAGCTGGAGGACCTCATCAGGCGCTATGAGTCGCGTAAGTCGGCATCCGGGGTTCGGGAACAGTTGTCAGATGATATCAAATCAGCTTCATTAGAGCTACTGGTTCCGAGTGACTTGGAGAAACATTTGATCCTTAATAAAAATAGACTGACCAGCTATGATTTGATGAAACAGGAAATTGAGTTGGTAGTCGAAACAAGTTTAGGTTCAAAAGGAACAGTCACAAGACCAGGAGCAGCGAGTTCGTCGGGACCCCAACCAATGGATGTTGACGCAGTAACCCAATGGGTAGCTAGCTTGGTAAAAGGTGCTGGAAAAGGCAAGGGCAAGGCTAAAGGCAAAGGCAAGGACAAGGGTAAGTCTAAAGGAAAAGATAGCAAAGGCTCAAGCACTAAAGACAAAGACTTCGAATGCTACAATTGTGGCAAAAGAGGTCACAAAGCGGCAGACTGTTGGTCAAAGAAGAAAGACGGAAAAGGCAAAGGGGGCTCAAGCAAGGGCAATCAGAAGGGCAATTCAAAGGGCAAGAAACACGTTTCAGGGCTTGATGGAGGTGAAGGTGAAGGAGATCAGGAAGCGGGTCGTGAACCCGCGCCTGAAGCTGATGTGGGATTGTTTGACTTAGGGTCAAAAGAGGTTAGTCCACCAGCGGCCGATTCGGCCGCGGTGGAAGAGTGGGTGAGATTCAACCTGGACACGGGGGCTGCTCGGACAGCCATCCCCAAGGTTTGGGGAAAGGACATGGTCACTGTCAAACCTGGCAGTGAAGTAGTTTTCAAAACAGCATCCGGAGAGTTGGTGCCGAGTGATGGCACTGGAACCTTTATCGGGTTCGGAGAGAGCGGCATGAAGTGCCGCGTGCAAGGGGCTGTTGCCGATGTGCATAAGCCGTTGATCTCAGCACACAAGTGCCTGGGACATGGAAGGATTGCTGTGCTTGACGCAGATGGCGGCCAGCTAGTGCCGTTGGAATCGAAAGCCGGAAGGGCTATCCAGCGAATACTCACCAAGGCATCGGTATCCGAGACAAAGACTTGGATGCCTGTGTATCAGGAGAGAGGCGTGTACAATTTCTACCTTCGAAGAAAGGTGGACAGAACCACATCCAGCATGAGTGCAGTTGAAGTCCATGCGGACTTGAATGCAAGCTCTGCTGCTGAACGGGAGCCCCAGGGTCGGGCCGACCCGCCTGAGGAGCCTATGGTGGCAGAAGAAGAATTAGAAGAAGTTGTTGAGGCCGAAAGGCCTGTCCAGATAAGAGCACCGGAGGAGCCAACTCCGGCTGAGATCGAGGAGCACGAGTCCATGGGGCACGTGCAATACAGAGACTGGTGCAGGCATTGCATCGCCGGGAGAGCGGTTGGTCAACCGCACCGGACAAGGAGTGAGGAGCAAAGGGCAAAGAATGTGTTGCCCACGGTGTCTTTCGACTATGCCTTCATGTCGAGGGGAGTCGAAGAAGACGATGAAAGGCTGCGGCCCATCCTCGTGATGAAGGATGACAAGACGCAGAGCGTCGCAGCAACCTTTGTGGACTCAAAGGGTGCTACTCAGTATGCCGTCAAGTTTGCGGCAAACTTCCTCCGAACCTTAGGGTATCGGAAGGTGGTGTTGAAGTCGGATGGAGAGCATTCCATCATTGCACTGAAGAGTGCGGCGGCCAGAGAGGCCGCAGTTGAAGCAGTGGCTGAAGAATCACCGCCGGGTGATCACCAAGCAAATGGGATGGTAGAGAATGCCATTCGAGAAGTGAAACTGCAGATCCGGGTGTTGAGATCAGCCTTGGAAGAAAAGATTGGAAAAGTCTTGACGGATGATGATCCAGTCTTGACGTGGCTGCCAAGACAGGCAGCAGACCTGTTGAACAGGTACAAGAAAGGCACAGACGGGAGAACTGCAGAGACCCGTCGGAGTGGAAAGCAATGGCGAAAACCAGCCATAGCCTTTGGGGAACGACTCTACTTCAAAGAGGTTGGAGAGAGCGTGAGAATCCTCAAGGATGGCAGGTACATAGGGCATCATGGACGCACAGGTTCATTGTTGCTGATGACTTCAGAAGGAGTCAAGAGAGGCGTAGGCTTCAGGAGAATGCCGGAGGCAGATCGTTGGGATCCCAGCCAGTGGGATCAACTGAAGGGCATTCCTTGGGAATTCAATGCCCCAAGGCCAAGTCCAGAGACTGACTGATGAGGACCGCCTGGTGGTTCCACCACCAGTCGAGGCTAGAGTGGCACCGCCACAGAAAAGGAGGATGTACATCAGACGTGAAGATGTGCATAAGTATGGAGCAACCGAGAACTGTCCTGGTTGCAGGTGTATCCTCGAAGATAGGAGGACAACAGTTCCACATACCGAGGGTTGTAGAAACCGAATTGTGGAAGCAATGGAAAAAGATGAGACAGGAGCAGAAAGGATCCAAGCACATGAGAAGAAGCGGAAAGAAGCAAGCACTGAAAAGAAAAGCAAACCAGCGGTCGTTTCGACCGATGATCCTGAGATCACTGCAGGCGATGCCGAAGGCAGACCTGCAGCTTCGGGAGCTGGAGGCAGTACAGATCCAGTTCCTGAGGGTGAACAAGAAAGAGCAGTGTTGAAGAGACAGACCTTGGAAGAACCAAGGACTCTACCGCCTAAGGCGAAACCAAAGACACAGCCACAGAGCGTGAAAAGAACTGGTGAAATGCAGATAGCCAGACAAGCACCAATGGCAAAAGCCAAGACAGAGGCAGCACCAAAAGATAAGAGACCTGCAGAAGAAGCTGTGTAAAACCTCCAAGCGAGAACAGAGGAGCAAGCGGTAGCTGACACCGCGGCTCCTAGTTCGTCCTTGGGGACCCAGGAGTTGAAAAGTACTGTTTTGACAGCACTCAAGGAGGTCGCATACGAGAACATCAAGACGTTGGTGCAAGAGACATACAAGAGGAACGGCGTTGAAATATCGGCACAAGAAGTAGCAGACATTTCTAGCCTGAGCTGCGAGATGGCAGCTGTGGATATCGCAGAGGTGTATTCACCAAAGCGATTCACCGCACTGGCCGAACAGTTCAAACTAAGGCCAGGCTTTGCAATAGACCTGAGTGAGAAGAAGGCAGATGGAGAGTTTTGGAACCTCAACAAGCCAGCAGATGTTGAGGAGCTTCACAACTTGTTGGAGAGAGACGAACCATTGTTACTCACAGGTTCGCCACCATGCAACTTGTTTTCGAGACTGCAATACATCTCATGGTACAAGTTGCCGCCAGAAGTCCGAGAAAAGAGAATGAAGGAGGCATTACATCACCTCCACACGGCGTGTGACGCATATGAGGTACAGCTTAACGCTGGTAGATACTTTCTACACGAAGCGCCGTGGTCAGCTTCGAGCTGGAATGATGAGAGAGTAGAGCGGATTGCATCAAGAGATGATGTCTACACAGTCCGCGGCCCCATGTGTAAGTGGGGAATGCAAGCCACAGATCGCAGGGGTTTGCAAGGAAACGGCTATGTCAGGAAAGAAACGG